TTCGGTGAAACGTAATATTAAAATTGTTGGAGGTCCTTGGTTTAATCGTGAACGCAACAAACGAGCATAATTAATTGATATATAATATGACACACTGCTGGTGTGTGTAATGCCATTGTACTCCGATTGCACGCCTACGCCACAGCCATCGCTTCTCTTCACTTCGCTCCTACGTAGCCTTTCTCGTTCCCTTTCTCTCCTCGGTATCAACGATACCGCGGGACGCACCTTCGTCTCTCGTCTGCCAAGAACGAAAACAACCGGACATTTGCATAATATAATCCTTGTACGATGGAAGATTCTCAGGTATCCAGATGAATCAACGTTGTACCATGGGCGTCGACTACGAATCTAGTTGATCGTTTTACAGACTTGATACCGACAGGTCTCGAGAAGTCGCCAATGCGTCGAAAACTCGGTCGGTCGGATAATGGATCGACCAGCGGAACACGGTTGGATCGGCTGACGATGTATACAAGGAACGTGTAAACGGGCAAGTGGAATTGTTCCAGAGGATTTGCATCGATAATAAAGCGTTCTCTGTTTGCGCGATCGAAGGCGATGAAGAGCCTTCGACGTGCCCGGCAAACAATGCTCGGTTCTCCGTATCGCATTAAACCAGGAACGTCGGAAATAATGATTCGTAAAATAGAATAATTCAGTATGAATCGTTGTTTACTCGTTGGGAGCGTCGCATGATTAAATAAATGAACGCACGAACCGTCGTACTACATTCCTTTTATCGCTGCTGCGAACGATGGCAGAAATTCTTCACTGTCTCATATCATTTGTTTTCTCATCGTCGATGCACGAAACTCGCGTTTGGTCTCTCCATCGGAGAACCGCTGCTCGTTCGCTGTAATCCGAGATTTTCGCGGTTTCGTCCCGCACGCCGTCCGAGCCGAGCCGCAGCTGTCCCGTTCCGACGAGTCCGGCGACCGTTGCGAGAACGTACGTACACCCGCTCCGTTTTTCCCGTCCGCGATTCTCTTCTTCGTTTCCTTTTATCACGAACCATTCCGACGGAACGTGCTCGCGGAAAATTCATCCGGCATGACGCAAACAACGGCGAGCGGTTCGCGTGACCGCGGCGTACGACGAAATTCCAGAGCGTCCGATTATTTTTATCGGTATTCTAGTTCCACCTCTCCAACGAGACTCGTCGTACCTGCGAACTTCTCCGTTCGTTTATTGAGACACGCTCCAGTTCCCCGTTTATCGCCGCACGAATCTCTCTTTCTCTCTTTTCTTTATTATTATGTACACGAGAAACGAGTATGCTTGGACGTATGAACGATAAAAGCGATTCGTACGAGGCGTTACGACCGACCGTACCATCGCTTCGGTCTATAAAGACGCGTGGCCGTATCCCGGGAGACGTTGATACACCTCGAATTTACGGCGCGCGAACGGAGTACGTAGCGAGCGCGTCGATGGTAGCGAACGAGCCCGCTCGATTCCCTGAATCTTTTACGAGATTTCGTAACGCCGATGCACCTGCCTCCACGTGCTCCCGACACTGCTTGCGACACAGGCATCGATAACGCTGGCAGCTGAACGCGATTTTTCCATGACGGTCGATACGAAAACAGGCCTGCCCACACGTCCGCTCACTTTCGATTCTTTGGGAACTTGTTCCTCTAATTCGTTCGGCCAGGCACGATTTCTCGTTGCACGAACGTGACGCGAAGTACATGAGAAACGTCTGTTCGATCTATGTTTTCATTCTTGATTTCGTTGTATTTCGACAGGAAGAGGTAAAGGCCGAGGAAACTAAGCAAGAATCGCCCGGAGAATCTCCCGCGGAAACGGCAGAGGTCACGACACCGACAGAAGCCACCACTCCAGCTAGTCCGAACACTGCCACCTCTCCAGACAGCAAGGAAACCAAAAAGAAGGAGAAGGTGAGACCCGGCGAACGATCTTGATCATCGCGTACCGAAAACGATCGATTCTACTTGCGTTCCGTCGGAAGGGAAATCCGTGGAAGAACTTTTCCCAAGGCTCGTCGAGCGCTCGTAGATTCAGCGTTAACATCGAACCGTGTTTGCATCCTGCGGTTACGTCGGCTGATCGCGGTCGTAAAGTGGGATATTACCGTTTTTCTTCCGTCCGCCGTTTGTCAGAGTTCGCGTGTAAGAAACGGTTGACTCGTCGACGATACACGTGCGCGGATCGGCGTAGCGTTAGAGAAATAAGATTGCGAGCAATGAGTTCTTCGATCATTATCGATGCCGTTTCCTCGTTCATAGATGAAGAAAAAGTGGTCCTTCAGGTCGATCAGCTTCAGCAAGAAGGACAAGAACAAGCCTGCCCGCGAAGAAGCACCCAAGAATGGAGACGTCACTAAGGAGGAACCACTCGCAGAGGTGAGTACAGAACTTTACCTTATACGCTCTTCTCTCGTGAACTCAGAACGCTGATTTCGAGTAGTCACCCTTAGGACCCGGTCGTTCGGACAGGCATCGTAAAACAAAAATGCCAAGACTCGTTTCCGTTCGTCAATTGATCAGACTTGAATCCTTGCCGATCGGACGTAATCGATCGATCCTCGGTGCAGTGTTAAAGAAATAATGGGTACCGGCCTGCCGGGCAGTGACGGTGAAACTAGCAGGGCACTGCTCGCTCGAGCGTGATTTGTGCTCCCTTCGATTTCAGGCAATCTGCGTACACCGGTATAATCGGCAACGACCACGCGATAACCGTCACGGATCGAAGCACCGTCGGTGTTTAATTGGCCTCGAGACGTCCTATAAATCTCGCGCCTTTCGTGATTATCTGAGATTTATTCTACAAAAATTGATATAGAGCCGATAGTCGAACGTGAACAAAGTCAATTATAATATCCAGCGTAGCGATTTTTCTATCCGCCACGTATTTATAGCAATCGTAACGGTCTTAATGCCGTTAAACGCTACGTCGGACGAACGGAAATGACGCTTCGTCTGGCGGAGTCTGCGAATCGACGGTTTCCCACGTCTCGCCAGGATCGGAACGAAATTTCACGATAAGCCCGCGGGCAAGCGCGTATAATAAGTGGCGTGTCTCCTTTTCCTCGGTCATCCGTTGCTCGGTCGTTCAGCTAGCCGCGCGTAGGCGAACCGTAGCCTCGAGATCGTCAGGGCTAATCTCCCCGTTTCTTTGCCACCTTCTTCATCTCCTCCCTCGTTCCCTGTTCCTCTCTCCTCTTTTCTCTTCGACAACCTCCGTGGAAGGGCGAGCGGCCCGTGACTCATCCTTCTCGTTCGTCGCGAGTTTCGTGATAGGCTGCCATGGAAACCGGCTTGGCTTCGGAGTCTCCTCGCCGACCGTTCGGGTTTGTATTCCGTTCGTCCTACCTCGTGTATACGCGTAATCCTCGTCTCCTTTCCTCCTCATCATGGAAAAATAATTCGTTTCGCGTAGGATAAACGATCTTACAGAGTCGAGCGTCGTCGACCGACAAGCGCAGACGAATCGCGTTCGAGATAGCGTCATAAATAGGCCCGTTGACGGACGTTCCGTTTCTATCGAGGATGATCGATGCTCGCATCGACTTCGTCGAACGTTCAATGACACGTGTCCGAGATATACACGAGCGAGGAAATCGCGGTTCCCCGCGAGACCGGAGCAAGCTTCGGATATCGCGAGGGCCGTCGCGTTCAACCGCGACTTTCACTCCGTTCGAGCACAGAGGAGTCAGCATTCCGGGTCATTAAGGAACTACGAGCGGTGGTGCGTAGCGCGGCTCGTAACAGCAAGATGTCATTGTGCCACGCGTCGTGACACGGCGTACCACGGAGAATGACTTATTGCTCCCCGGCTCGTTACCCCATGTTCCATCCAGAGCTGCTTCTTCTTCTCCGCTCCGGCGTTACCTCGATTCTCATCTAACAGTTTCTTCGGATTCCATTCAGACGTCGAACTATACGCGGCGACGGCTCTCTTTCACGAACGCAAATTCAAATCTGTCTCTCGCGTCGTCTTAAAACTGTCGTCAGATTCGAAGCTGGCAACGAGTGACAGGGCTACGTTCCTCGGATTTGCGAATTTTTTTTTACAGACGCGAACGACTACGCACGATGGCATGGCAGAGTTTCGCTCAGCGGCATATTCTTCGAATTTGTTTCTCGCGTCGTCAGCGCAACTGATGAACGCTCGTCGTCGCTCGTTGGACGACTGGTGACGCGGTTCAATGGCCCAAACTTCCCGGATACGCTTACCTACTCCGCGTTATTTTGTCGTGTAAAGAGAGACGGTTCGTTCACATCCGCGAGTACGCACTCTTTCCTCTGTCAGGGATAAGCCTCGATTGTATCAGACCGTCGAGGTTCAAACAGCGTTTGTGGTAATACAACGTCTCAACCCGATCATTCCCTTTATTCCATCTGAAATTGAAATCTCCTATTGCGGTATCGCAACACCATGCTAAAAATTACGCGAACTCGCTTATTTATGGAAGATGTGACTCGTTTCGTATAAATTCTCGTAATCGGCTTTTCGCTATCATAGCTGTAACCGATTCTACGGCTCGCTGTTCAGTGAACGTTTTATGTGATCGTAAACAAGTTTGTAACGGTGGAGATCCGCGTGTGGGAGGATACGTTGGATCAGAGGGTTTCTATTATACTGCTGCTCCTTTGTGCAATTGGAAAGGTTTCACGCTTCTGAGAAATTCATCCTCTTTCCTCGTAACCATTCCAATTTTATTCGGTCGAAATCGAGTCGGACGTATTTGATACGTCGTTGCCGAAGTGCAACGAATGATCATAGAAACAATGATCTCTTTCAAGGTGTCGAAGATGCTAGATCGGGTCGAAAATCCCCTCGATGACCGGGGAAGCTTGAAGCGTGTCGAGGAGTGGTTTTCCGTCGCCGGATCACCGGGCCTCGGGCTAGGGAGGGTCTGCCGAGTGCGGCCAGAAGGACTCTCGCTCGAGAGTCTTCCCGTCTGCCGCTCGTATTCTCGGTTTCGCACCTACGCGAATGTCACATTGTCTCCGGCCCATCCACCCTCGCGCGAACTATTGCGAGCGGCCCTCCTGCGGTAGGAGAAAGGGTCCGTCGTCCTCTTAACGTCCCCGTTCTCTCCTCTGTTCTTTGCACGTACAATTGGTTTTGACACACGATCTCTCGCGTCGTCTTTAATTTTTCTACTGTCACGTTTGATCGAATCTGCAGTTCGTATGCGTTCAAACGTACTCCGACTTCAATGAAACTTTTCGTAATAGAGAATCAATGAGCCTGCGTCGAGGCTTTCAAATGTAGCCCCGTTTTACGAAAGATAGTTCGATAGAAAAACGAAAAAATTAGGAAAACGCGTTTACGACTGTGCGTTTACGAAATGCTTGGTCAAAGTCGTTCAGCGCTGAAAGGGTTACAGGCGATATTAATTAGTTCGGGGTAGTAGCGTACGTTGGGTGGTCGCTCGGGTGTGACGAAAGGTAGAAAAAGTTTGCCTCGCGTGACTCGACCCTCGGAAAAATGAAAAACTCCTATGCGCAGGGGTTAAAGGTAGGGTGGAAGAGAGTTCGGCGAGGCACGGCACGCGTGCATCGGGCCAACGGGGTGAGAAGAACTTTCACTCGCCTCTTTTGTTCCGACCGTTTCACGGTCACGAACGCGACCAACTTCTGTGCATCGTGGCGAGCAAGCGTGTCGCACTGATCACAAGAACGAGAAAAAAGGTCGTACTCGTCGGTATACGAATCGATCACGCGGCTCGTAAATTGATCGTTCGGACTCGTGCGACGTAAGATTGGACGAGAAAGAGGGCGATCCGTTTGAAGCAAGGAGTCCCAGTGCCGTCGTAACGCGTCGGGATGGTACAAATTTATGTGACGAGTGACGAGATACGGCCGAGTTTCGCTGTCTTAAAATATGTCGGCGACACTGGTTGCACGTGCAACGGTACATACACGGTGCAGGAGTTCCGTCTAGGTATGCGCCGAGAATACGGCGCGCGGCTCCGGGCAACAGTGGCAAAAGATCAGGCCGGGACGGTTAAAAACCGGTTTGAATACGGCGCGGAAGGCGTCTCGGTGGGTTTCTACTGGCTTCGATTTCGTTCCTAATGGCCCCGATGAAATTCATCCCACGAGCGAGCGTTCGCTGCGAGCTCGCGTGCATATCTTTCTGCGCAATTGCGTGCACCGTTCACCCGTTCCGATTTCATGCCGTATCCGTTCTGTCGTTGTAAATTCGCCGCGACGACCTGCCGACCGTTTACACGAGATCCCCGTCGCCTCCGACGAGGACGGAAACTACCGGAATCACCTTCGAATCGTTCACGATCACGCGCTTACATGAAACTGGTCGTACGGAGATCAAAAATAACGTTCATACACAGTCTGCATGGAAGTTCGTTGATCAACGAGCAGAAAATCGGGCGTTGATCGAGCGACGCAAAGCGTGACACCGTGCGGGGTTAATTGCGCGTACGGAGGGGAAAAAGGTCCGCAAGAAAGTTCGGATACATCCGGCTACGAGCGGCGTGACTCCGAACCGAGGAAAAAAGAGAAATCCACGAGTGGAGCGCGTCTCGCGAGTCCTCGAATCCCTGCGGGGGGAGAAGCGCGATCCTAATCGCGAGCTGCGCGTAAGCAAATCGCCGGTTGGAAGTATCGGGTGTCTTAGCGATCTTTTTTAATTGATCACCCACGCCCAAATTTTTTTACAAATTGCAATTTAAAAATCGTCGCGTCGATCCGCGATGCTCTGTTTCTTCTTCGAGTCAGAGATCGATGAACACGCTGGAGATTTGCGCGGTAGATAGAAGCGAACGTGAAATCGAAATTCTCTCGTGTTCGACGACGCGTTTCGGATGACGTGGGAATTCGGCAGGTGTCCCGCCCGCGATGAAAATCGAATATCTGTCTCCTTCGGTCGCGTTCCCTCGAAAAGCCACTTTCATTCGCCGCGATGAAAGCCTCCCGTCTGTCGTCCCACCCTTTTTTCGCCTCGTCCCGTCTTCTCCAACCGACTCTTCCCGCTTTGTCTCTCGTCGCGGTGGCCGGATAGCACGGAACAGAGACAGAGGGAAAGAGGATTGCAGCTACTAGTGCCAATCGCGTTTTGCCTCGTGCTAGACTCGCGACGCGACAGGTGGAACGCGAATAAAAAGCACGAAGCTCAAAGAGCAGAGCGAAGTTCGATGACCGTCGTATAAATAATCGATCGCGAATCGATGCGTCGAGAGTTTGAGCATACGCTTGGGAAAAAATCCGGGAGCATCTCGATCTCCTTACGAGCTTTCCACGGGAACGAGAGTCGTGAGAAACGACGCATGAATCGATGAGCCGATCAGCGTCTGATTCCAGAATTTACTCGGAGTCGTCATCAAAGAACGGTTTATTTATTCTGTGGTATAGACTCGGAGTCTATCTCGTTG